ATTCAAATGGGACAATTGCACTCGCAGGGATTTCATCGTTTTTATCGGAATGTTATGACCCAAAAATGAGGTTTAGCTGGCTTCTAGCTTCAAGTTTTGCCATATATTGTAGAAAATAGAAGCAGGGGTTTCTAAGTTAAGGGCCTCATGATTTTGTTTAGTGGTCGATTGCACTGATGATACTAGGTATCTGATTTAAGAAATCTAACACCTTTGTAGTAGACAACTTGGAATAAGGTGAGCTTCATAATACAAGCCAGGTACCACAATATCAATAGGATAGTTCAAAATTTCTCTGTCCAACTAACTCTTAAGCCTGAAAACTAAGAACCTAAGGTGTTAAGCCAAATACATTATCTCCCTCCCCCTTCAAGCCACTGCATTTGTGTATTGAAATAGGAGCTACTCTGTTGGTCCCCATAAATAAAAAATGTAGCCTTTGCAGCACGGGAAGCCTCAAAAGTTTGTTGAAGAAACATAACGATATCCTCCTAGCTACCCAAATGAACTAATAAATGATTAATGTACAACTTTTCCTTTACAACTGAATTTATTTTGGGTGCTGCTGTGTTCCAGATCAGGCAAATTATACCTGATTCGCTGACCAGTCATTGATTATGAATGACAAAGTTTGGTTAATGTGTTTAATTTATTCATTGGGATTTGTACTAAATTTTAAAGCTGTTTGTTATCCTCTGGCAGCCATATTAATGGACTGTACAAATTTGTAGCTGGGGCAGTTGAAGCATTACTAGATTCTTTATCAATTTGCTCAACTTCAGCATTAGAGCACATTAAAATTATTTGTAAATTACATGAGCATCTTATTTTTGAATTACATATATACAGACGGCAGATAAGTTAATAGTTTAATATATTTTTTTTGGGAATACAGATAATAGTTTAATATTGATATCACCTAATCAAGGACCGAAGTAGAATAAAAATGTTGAGGAAAGAATACTTTTTACAAGATGTTAAATTTTTATTTTATAATCATTAAAAATGTGGATCAATTTGCAAGGATAATTTTAACTTAATTTGTGATCTGGAGTATAGTATTTTGGGTACAAAGTTGTGTTAAAATTTTGGTAAGAAAAATTTAATCATTCTAATAATTCTATAAGCCTCAATCAAACTAGTTAGGTAATCAATGAAACGGTATAGAAATATAAAATATAGTATATTTTATATTACAAAAATGAAAAAAAAAAGTATAATTTTTTTAATTTTAAAAAAATTGAGTAGACCATGGCACCAAAGGTACACGTTTTATGATTTTCGTCACTGGTGCGCACCCACAATACTACATCAAAAAGAAAAGAAAAGAAAATTTTAAAAGAAAAGAATAAAGCCTCTCTAGAAACAAGGTTTAGTAACGATAAATTAAAGCTTGCTGATTTAAAACAAGATGAGCTTCTTTAATCAAGATCAGCTTTAGTAACCATAAGTTAAAGTGCAAAAGAGCTATCATTAGCCATAGATTATTTGATGGCCTTGAGTTCTTTTCTTTATTAAAGTGCATTGAAATTTTGCCTGCTATTTTAGGTAACGGTCCTAAACATATTAACGGTCAATTTGAAAGGAAAAGTTGAGATTTACTGGTTGCAAATCAGCACCAATATAGCATCCTAATCTTTTTCCCTTTAATCAAACACGCAAATGACTCTGTCATGCACCGATTATCCACTTTGTGATGTTAAATTTTTAATCATGCTACCGTTGCGCTTTCGCTTTCGTCGTTGCCCATGCACAATGTGTTGAATCAGCGAACCCTGTTCAAAGTTCAAACTACTACACCAGCAAGTCAAGATATGGGAGTGTCACACTTAAAAGATATGTTTAATTTATATATGAGATTGCAAGGAAAAACTTGCATTTGTTTGGAATGCTTAAATAATTATATATATAACATTCAAAAAAATAAAATAATTATATATATAATATGCAAACGGTTCTTTTAAAATTATTACACATTATCGGATCAATGAGCCATAATTAGTAAAACCAAATTATGATTTATGAGATGCATGACCCTCTACCACCATCCATAAAGAATCATTGGATAATTGGAATCTATGACAACTAGCTAGTGATAAACAAAGGCCATATTGGGGTAGTTGAACGTTCGTTTAATCCTTCATTTTATTTCAATAATTAGTATGTATGACAAGTTCGGTCAAATTAAGGCGTAAACAAAGTTAAGCAGGCCCAAAAAAAAAAGCCTAAGAAAAATGATAGTACTCTTTGATATCCTCTTTTAATACTTTCTTTATTATCAGGTAAATTTTCAAATGAACTCCATTAAATAACTTGTTTCACTCTCAATTAATAGGATCCACATGAAAAAAGGACTAAAAAATAATAAAGAATATATTACTAACGTTTCGAAAAGCCATAAAAGAAAGGGCTGCTACTTTAACAGAAAACATCACCAAACATCACCAAACATAATTAATTAGTTGGGGTTACTTTAGCTTAATTAATGATTTTGAGTTCAAATTTTAAATATGCAGTTATGTTACAAATTTAATAGGGAGGACTTTACCTTTTTTGGAAATAATAGGAAATTAAAACAAAAACACAACAAAAAGAAACTAGGCATAAAGCCTAGACCAGTGAACACCTATAGTGTCACCATACAGACTATCAATACAACCTGACGGTGGACAATCAAATTCCTGAATTACCCAAGAGAAACCATAAGAGTAAGAGGCTAGAAAGTCCGCTACTCTATTTCCTTCACGGTGAATGTGAGACATATAAATCTGCCAATCTCGCTGCATCAAATTTCGAATACGATTCACCAAATTAGCCGCAGGGTAATCATGGTGACACCCATTTGTAATGAGCTGTTGAGCTAGGGAGGACTTTACCTATATATAATCTTACCCGACTGAAATAAAATCAGATTAATAATAAAAAAAGAAAAAAAGTCCATTAACCTTTCGGAGTTAGCATATTATCGCCGCAGAATGCTTTCACTCGTAATTCATTTTTCTTTTATTGACAAATCTTTTTGGGGACATAGGGCCCCGGCCCCCAAATATACTGGTATAATTGTAAGACACATTATTATACAGATTAGATGTTCATGTTTCAAGTACCAAACACATGGGAAATTGGGAATACTAGGAAACAATTCCACGATTTTCGGCATGCCATGTATATTGTGAATCATTTTTAATTATGATATCAAGCATTTTAAATGATAGAAAATTTCCTGGCGGTGTCTCAAATCATGTTACCAACTATTGTAATAACCGTAGTTAATTTTCATGCTTCAATTTCCCAAAAGGAAAGTTAAGCAGTAGCAGGAGCTGTTAATTAGGAATTAAAATAGGGGCCACCCATTGCAACTGAAGCATAGGAACAGTTCCATTGGTCAGCTCAAGTAATATGTTCTAGCATCAATGACATCATATGTGCAAAATGGATCTTGCTTCCAATTCTCCTTCCTAATATTGTCAAGAATAGTTTAGCAAACAATATCAGCACTTAATTTTATGCAGCATGTTCCAGGACCAAAGGTAGTCAAAATCGGAATTTTACCTAAAATCGAAAAAGAAATAAAAAATCGTAAATCGTAAAATCGTAAAATTGTAATACAAATCGTAAATTTTACCTGCATTCTAAAATTAAATTTTTATATACATATGCTTATGTATAAAAAAAATTAAGAAAAATAGACTATCTGCCACTATTCTTATACATTTGCATACAATTGTCACACTCTAAGGGTCTAAGCTAATAAATCATTCAAGTTATTATCATCGAAGACATTTTGTTCCACATGATCTTCAACTACATCATTCAAAATTGTCTTATCTAAACTTTCATCATGAGATAAAGTTCCTTCATTTTCCATAATTCATTCATCTTCGGATGAAACATCAGCAATGTTATATTCAACAATTTTTTTAACTTGCTTAACATCATTCCAATAGTTAAAATCGGAATTTAAATCTTAAAATCGGGACATAACTAAATGTTTAAATCAGGATTTTATATTGAAAAAGATTTTAAGTGAAATCTAAATCGTTTTAGCAAAAATAAATCGTTAAAATCGGAATTTTAAGATTTAAATCCAGATTTTAACTACCATGCCAGGACCTATCATTATACTATTTGTCACTAAAATCAATTTTTTTTTTTTTTTGTCTCAAATTTCAATTAGTAGAGTCATGGGACACATAACAAGAATATTCGGCTTCAAATCTAGCAATCTCGTCTACATCAGGAAAATATATTTAGTGCTACTTAAGCTTTGGAGAATAGTTTTAGTGTTGTTGTAATATAAATTACACTCACTTAAAACAAAAACGTACTCACTTAAATTTATGCCCATATTCTTTATAACTTCTTCATAAATGTGTAAGTATGTGAGTGGATGTAATACCTATCACAGGAGGAGTGAAAATATTCTCTTCCTTTAGTGCTAGGTATTCCTTTGAAGTAGAAAAAAACAATTTTAATTTCATCAAGAATGATTTATTTTTAAAGGAAGGGGAAAAGATAGATAAAAAATGGTGATAAGACATTTTCTTGAAAGGCAACAAAATCGCCAATTTCTCCCCCTATATTTTAGTTAAGCTTAGAACTGAAGCCAAGGAGCATGGATATACTCTCATTATTATTATACTTTTTCCTTTTACTCTTATTTGGACATTGGCCAACAATAGCAATCTCGTGAACTTCCCCACACCAATACAAGGGCATGTTTTGGGTGGTTTAAGGACCACCTCATCCTTTAGTTCACATGGCTTTGTATATATGTGGAAAATCCAATTGCGCGTCCAATTCTTCTCCCCCCTCTATCAACATGCAGAATCTGTATCATGTTTCGTTTTTGTCTCTTCATGGAGTGTTCTAGTGTGTTCTTATCAATGCTCCAATTCAATAATAATTGAACCAAAACAAACACAAGCGAAACTAAACACAGTGAAATGTTATACCAAATTCCAAAAAGTAGTAAAATGCCATTGCTTGATTCATTGCCTCCAATCATTAGGGAAGGCCATAAACACTTACAGATTGCCAAGCTAATAATGATTTGAGTAAATAATAATCATATAAAATATACCTTCTTCCAAATGTAAAACCATAACTTAACTTTCTATCAAAAACTAAAAATTTAAAAAATAAAAATAAAAATACATTACTTAAATATCAAATTAAAAATAAATTGCTCTTGAGGTGGAGGACAGCCAGCTGCTAAATTTCTTTTTTTTTCTTAGCAACAATTGGTTTTCTCTCAATCAGCAATGGTCCAGGTCATGTCGTTCTCGAAGATCCAGTGGCAGACTTCAATCCGACCCGGACCCGACCCGAGAGAGAGGAAAGCTCCGTGGGCAGGGCTCCAATCCGAGGTGTCCAAGTGACATATGGCAACACCATGATTGATCTTAGCCTTGGTATTCGGGTCAAGAAGATCCGTTTCGTAGACCCGAACCTTTGGAACGGAATGGCAATAGTAGAGCAGGTAAGGAAATAAACTCTGATGGCAAGATACGGATTGCGTGACTTTGCCACCATTGATCCCTTTAACTTGACCCACCATCACGTTTTTCTTTGACCCGTTTACGTTTTGGGTGGTCCGAACCGCAACATTCCGACCCAGAACCGAGGTTGCAAAGTCGATCATGTCCTCGATGGAACCCACACAGCGCTTGGTCTCGCCAGGGCTAGGAACCCTTTCGCACTCTTGCAACGAATCCCTCATCATCTTCTCCATTGAACCATTATCCGAAGCCTTGAACAATTGCTTCAGTTCAGAAATCTTCGAGGTCGAAAACGGTAATTTCGCCAGTATGCTTCGGGGTAAAAACGACCTTTCAGGCATTTTATCTTTTAAGTCTGGCAAAGGCATCACCGTCCCTTCCTTCATCATCTTCTCACGAAAGAATTTGCCCGGCTCAACCCACTTTTTTACCAAACTGCCACTCACTGATTTCGCCATGGAAGAAGAACTAAGCATCGTGGTGCTCACGTTGGTGTACATGGCAAACGAGACACCCTCTTTAGCGTACTCCTTGAACGTGTTGTTCACGCCGTAGCCCTTGAACCCTACCTTGGTTTCCCCAGTGGCACTTTTAGCGTAACCGGTGAAAGTGTCGGTTCCTTCGTTGAAGGATTTTCCGTAGTTGTTGAAACCAACGTTGGCAGCGTTGGAGCCCTTCGCGTACGAGGTGAACGAGTCGGCGCCGACATTGGCCTGGTCTCGGTAATTGGCGAAGCTCTCGGTGGCGCCGTTGCCGCCGCCGGCGTAGTTGGTGAAGGTGTTGGTGGGGTTGTTCATATCCACGCCATAACCCTTGAAAGTGTCGTTGGAGCCATTCGATGTTTCGGCGTAATTGGAGAATCCAGACCCGACAACGTTGGAGCCTGTCCCATAGGATGTGAACTCGTGATTCGGGCCATTTCCGTTTTTGCCGTAGCTGGTGAAGGATTGTTCCCCTGCATTGCCGTCCTCGGAGTAAGAGGAGAACGACTGGGTCCTCCCGTTGGCGTCATCGGAGTAGGAGGTGAAACGGAGGTCCGGGACGTTTACTTGGTTGGAGTAACGCTTGAACTCGCCGGCGCCGCCGGTGGCTCCGGCGCCGTAGGTGTGGAAGCTCTGGTCCACCACGTTCCCTTCAGAGGCGTAGCTGAGGAAACTGTCCTTATGCCCTGCGGAGTCTCTGCTGTACCGCCGGAAATCGTTCACCGGAATGTTCTCCCCCTCCGAGTAGTTCTTGAACGAGTCCAACCCACCGGGTCGATCCGTTCCGTAGTTGGTGAAGTTCTTGTCATTGTACACTGCGAAGTTCGCGTCTTTGTCGTGCTTCTCCAGGCTGGCTCCCAATTCCGGGAAGCAGAGGAGTTTAGCCGCGGAGCAGAATTCCGGCAGGCGCGTTGAGAGGGCATTCCCGGCGGCGAGTTTAACGAACGCCGCCGCGTCCACCGCGCTCAGCGGTGACGCCTTGGAGAGCAGGAACGATGGCTTCGGCAAGTTGTTGCGGATCTCCTTGTCCCAATACCGAATCGCAAACCCTTTCGGGGTGAACGGATTTTTCTCTCCGGCCACCGCGTTGCCGGCGTAAACAACCTGCATTGATGAATACCCATTTTAGAGGTGAGAATGGCACACATAAAACAATTAAAAAAAAATTGAGACTTGGAAAAATGATAGTGAGTGCTTACACTGAAAGATGAGAAGAGGATAAAGAGACAGAAGAGGGTGAGTTGTTTGTTCATATTATTTTTACTCCTTTGTTTTTCTTTTTCTTTTTGCTCCAAAGAGTGAGAAATTTGAAAAGCGAAAATGGGTGTGAGAGAGTGGCGAATGTTGGTGGACTTGTTGGGTTGTATGGAAAATTTATACTAAGTGGAGTGATAGGAGTGAGTGTTTGTTTGTGAAGAATATGATTTTAGATTGGGCCTTCAATGTTCCATCTCCCTGTGTGTGAATACAGAGAACTTCCTGCAAAGTGTATTGACAAAAAAAATAAAAATACTATTAATTGGCTGCAACTACTGATTAATTAATGTGATTTTAATGCTTCAACTGACTAAGAGAGAACGAATACAAATCATGTAAAACAAAAATTCAGTGAACTAACAAGTCAGAAACTAATGTAGATACCGGAAAGTAATAGCAACAAGTACAATAAGTCAATAACGATAAAAGTGGGAGAAGGGAAAAAAAGAAATTAGAGTGGCCATTGAATTTTTATTCGAACAAAGAGGATGCACCTTGATCTAGTCGACAGTTTGCATGAGCAATACACATGGGGATAGGGGCATATTTATAGCCATTGAAAATCCGAATGACGCGTTTTCTAATTTCTGAATTCAATACAGGTAACAAATTAGGATTTTATGAATTCACTTTTTCCAGCCGTCACTGAAATTTTTTCTAAATTTAAAAAGGAAATTATATATATAGAAAAAGGCTTTGATAGTGTTGAGACATCACTGCAATCAGTACAATGTCTACAGTTGGCCAGAACAGTCCCCAACAGAAGAATTTGCAGCCTCTTATACAATTACAAGATATTCTTAATTGACAAATAATTTGCAGCTATATTTACAGAAAACCAAATTCAGCTATACTGCCAATCGTTATAGTAAAATTTCTGATTGTAAACACTGTTAAAACACCAATAATAATTAATTCAGGTGGTGGGAAGTTTTTTCTTATTAATTAGAAGTCTCGAATTCGAATCAATAAAAAAAATGATTTTGGGAGAAAAATCACCCCGTTAAAAAGTTGTTAGCTTACAATAATAAATTTGATAATAACTTGGTTGGGTCTTTATGGTGATGGCTTGGCTTTGTCATTTCCCATTTCCTTTTGAAGCAATGGAAGTGCTTCATTTCTAACACAATTTGCATTCAAGTATTGTTCTTTACTCTCTTCTTCTTTTTTAGGTGACTGTCGAGATGGGATAAATTTTTAGTCCACACCCACTTAAATTATAACACAGATTTACATAAAAAAAAAAAAAAAAGAGAGTGTAAATACAGTGAAGTAAGTCCAGATAGTATAATTTAAATGAGATATATCATGTAAACCTAAAAATATATCCGTGGAGATGGTGACAAATAAGATTTTTGAGCACAGAATTATACACTCATAAAAAGTGTTGGTTTAATATAGTCCTGACTTGTGTCTTTCATGGCAGGTTTGAAAGCTTCCGATATTTTACTTTCGAACTCTAAACTCGTGATAAATGTACTTTTTTTTATTTCAGATGTTACGTTCAGAAATTAATGAAGAGAGGAATGGAAAGAATTATACCTTTCATTATAGTTTAAAATTTAAAGTATAATTAATATAAATAATTAAAGAAGAATGTAGTATATCGTCACGAGAACTACTATATATGAATACTACAGGTTGTTGTAATTATTAAAGGGAAAAAGGAAAAAAAGTATATGTGGTTTTAAATGAAAAAATTGTGTTTTTTTAGTAGCTTTACATTATGTCTTATCAGTACGATATAGTTATAATATAATTTTTTTTTCTCTCTTCAGAAATATCAGCTGACATGAGAATTGAAAAAAAAAAAATCATATTATAACTATATTTTATCAGTAAGATATAGTGTAAAACTACTAAAAGGATATAAATTATATCTTTTAAAAGGAAAAATGTTAAATCCATTATTAATTGGGAAAAATATTCTTTATTTTAAATGACATAAAATTATGTTATTCTTAATTAAACTACGTTTTGGTATGTTTTTATATTTTCTTCTCACTTTTTTTTTCTTCCTAATTTTATAAAAAAAAAGAGAAAATGACAAAACATATCAAAATAACATAATTTTATTAAAAATGACATAATTTTATGTTTAAATGACAAATATTTTTTTCTAATTAAAATTAGAAAAAGGATGTAAATACTATAGAGTTCTTTTATTTTATTTTTTCTTTCAATAAAAAATGATTTTAATGAACCTGTTTGGTCAATTCAAGATGCACTAGTACTAGTAGACTTCCATGTTCATGCCTTGTAATCTGACATTTATTGCCCTTCTCCATCACCTGTGACAAGTTTACATAAAAGCAAACTTTTGCGTGGCTTCTAGATAGCTTGACAAGTTTGCTAAGCTCACTTTGATGATGATATTTTATTTTATATTTTTAAATACCAACTGGTGTTTAAAGTCACGGTATGACTAATTTTATTTTAGGGTTGAGTTTTTTTATCCTTCTTAAAAATCGAACACATCATTTTTGGACAAGTCAAATATCATGTATCAACACTTTGATTATAGTTTAAATTTTCCTATAAATTAGATCTGTATGGATGGGCTTCTTTTTTCTTTAAAAATTGTTTTTTTTCAAACAAACAAAAACTTTTATAAGAAAAAGTTTATTTGGACAGTGCTTTTAAAAAAAAATAGAAGTAATAAAAAAAGTTAAATATCTATTTTTTTAAGTTAAAAATTTTCACTTTTTAAAAAAATAGAAGTCAAAAGCTAAATATTTTAAAAAAAAAATTTAAATTTTTTTAATTTTTGTAAAAAATACTTCTAAAATAAATAAAGTATAAAAAACACTTTTTTTTAATCTCATAGTCTCTTTGGCTTCCTTTTCCCAGGTATAACAATTTTTTCCATAGTAGAAAATTTAAAATAAAATCTAATGTAATTTAACAATTAATCAAATAAGTATTCTGTCCCCCACATTTTTGTTTGTATATATGCAATGAAAGTGTATCAATTTAAATTATACTTCCTTGAGTTTTGTTTTACTCTTTTTTTCTTTTTGTGAGTCCTTATGAACACCTTCTAAGGCTTACTTTAGTAATGACCCCAACAAAATATATATATCTATCTATATATATATATATATATATATATATATATATATATATATATATATATATATATATAAATGCACGAATTTTACAATAAATTAAGTCATTTTACTTACTTTTACTTTTTGGCGGACAAAATTTTAAAGAAATAAAAAATTGTCCATTTTAAATTTAAAGTATGTTACATGCTTTAGTAAAGACTTACAACAATGTTTGTAGATTGACTTATCTATAAAATGTTATAAAAAAACCCTACATTTAAATCAACCCAATTTCGTTTTACTAATTAGGTAAATTAATATGAAGTTTTATGTCAAATTAAAACAATAAATATACAATATTACATAAAGACAAGAAAAAAGAAAAAGAAAGTAACACTACCATGTTCAAACACATTTTATATGACAAAACACAGTACATAAATCACAATATTACCATGTTCCGTGATAAGCTCTGTATCTAAAAAATAATTTTTTTTCACAGTTGATCATTTACAATTTACAAATAAGAATTTTTTAAAAAAATTAAGAAGTTAATTAACGAAAATCTAACTTCCTAATACAACCTTCTTCTCAATACAAAATGAGAATACATTTTGTAATTAAAAAATAATAGTAATCTAACCTGGCTTGGCCTTGTACCAGCATAGTCTAAATTACCACCTTAAAATTTTAAAGTGTGTGTGTGTGTTTTTTTTTTTTTTTTACTTTAGGTCAATCATAATATGTTGCACTTTTATCGTTTGGGGGAGGTTATACTTACAATCTATTTTCGTTTATAACCTCTTACAATCATATCTCAACCGTTGATTTCCGTCAATCAACAGTTATCAGTTATTACGAATTAATAATTAATTAATAAATTTTATTTGTGAAAATCTTAACCGTTGATTGACGGAAATCAACGGTTAAGATATGGGTTGTAAGAGATTGTAAACGAAAATAGGTTGTAAGTATAACTTTCCCCTTATCATTTTCCATAATAGTTTAAGGGAGGTTATTTGCATATGTCTTTTTTAAATCGTGATTATCTTCGTTGGGCAGCACACGAGGGTGATTCAGATCAGGAGCTATTATACACACGTGCCTATCTATTGCTCCTAATTGGTAGATTTTTAAAGTGAGACAAATCATCGAACAAGGTAGTTGTATTATATATTAACTTTCTTGAATGGAATTTCGAGGAGATAACCACCTGTAGTTGGTGTGGACAGTTTTTGCACATTTATATAGAGAGTTGTGTCAGGCGACGAACCCTACTCAAAAGGAAATAAACGGTTGCTTTATGTTACTACAGTTACGGGCTTGGATCATATTTCCGTCCATCACACCTAATATTCCATCCGCAAGTAGTACAGATGATCATTATGAACATGAGTATGGTGACATTGCATTAGATTGATAATATTTTGAATACTAATTGTTTAATTGCTTATGTACATATTACACCAATTTGTCCTTTTCAGGTTTAATTATATGCCCATATGCATCCCCCCTAAAGATTTTAGTCATTATCGATCTACACTGAAGATGATGAATAGACATGATGAAATGATGTAATAGCTTGCATTGGGATTGTTAAGTTATGTAAAATGTGTTTACACTCAATTATTAACTTACTCAATTGTTTTTGTAATAGATTGCATGGCAATTATATAGATGATATCATTTTTTGGATGAATTTGTAGAGACGCAATTGATGTGGAAAGTTGTGTCATCGATTATATGTTTCCATAATGTGGAGTGGCACCAACCAGATAGAATCATGCGCCAATTTAGGCTGTAACATTCCATCCCATCAGCAGTTGACAAGCTGGATAGTGTACATGATCTTACTCTGTGAGGTAAGATCACAAATAATTAGATTGTTAAGCTGCAAATATTTTTGGAATAGTGGGAGAATCAATGCATGCTAGTCGTCGTTGTCACAAATAGAAATGATGATTACATGTCATTGAACTTTGAGTATATAATATGGTATAAGCGTCTCACCAGACTAGATTGTTGGATATTTTTTAGTTATTGTCTATTATAACACTTTTCTAAATTTGACTTCAATTGTTTAGGTTGATACAATTGAGATGACATAGTGGATGACCAATGATGTCGACCCTATAACAAAAATAGACATTTAGACAATTTTTGGGAGA